TTTCTTAGTAATTTGGTAAAAATTTGTAACACATTGTTTTAGAAAATTGGTATCTGGCAATGAGATTATACGACCAGTATACCGTGACATCACTTCTCTTAAAAAATTTGTCTTTCTTGGTGGCTTTTTTTGGTCTTTGTAGTTCCGTTACTCCTGATTTTTTTTTTCGTAAATCTGCGCGTGGTTTCGGTGGACTGCAATGGACATAAGAGCGAGTCGAGGGTCGAAGTCTTTACGGTCGTAAACTCCTTACTCGTGCAATCTATTGATAACTGATGCTGATCAACTCATATCTACGATCTACCTCTTAATGACTAGGGAATCAACTAATACATAAAATAGGTCTCGAGAATCAACTCACTTATCGCGCTCGAGATAATACTTCAAACCGAAAAAAAGTTTGGGTAGGTACAATAACAGGTGTAATATATTATAGTCCGTAATAATTACTGTTTCCGATATTATTTTATTATTTATTTGGTTTTTTTTTTTTTATTAAGTTTGGCGCACCATATTTTGTTTTCTCTCTCTGCAGGGGGCGACACAGACAAAACGCATTTGCGCAAAATCATTTTTAAGGCGTCTCAAGGTAAAATCGCCCAYTAAGAAAAAACGATAAAGAATATCGATAACGTTTTTGAGGGGRCGACTATACAAACCGATATTTGATTTTGTATTCGACTTTAAAATCGACAAACATTTTTTTGTAAATTTAAATTGTTTCGAGACGATGTTCGGACAAATCGGTATGTCGTTCGCTCAAAAACATTATTCTCAATCTTTTTTTTTTATAATGGGCGATTTTACAATACGATAATTATACCAAAATCATAGAAAAATGGATGCGTTGTGTCTATGTTGAGCGTGGGCCTGCAGAAAGAGAACACAAATAGTGCGCTGTGACCTGCACCCTCTTAAAGCACCAACTTCCGCGGTGAGCGCGAGTCGTTATATTATGATCGCTATGTGACAAAATATTGAGTAACTATTGAGCTTTAAATTRATTTGTAATAATTACAGTAATTTAAGACTTTCGTCATAAATAAAAAAGAATCCTTTTTTTTATTGTTGTTATAAATTTATTTCTTATGTAAAAAGCTATTATGA